AGGACACTTAAAAATCACCCCGTTATTTTTCGAGGGGCGGCTACGACCTGATAAACGTCCTAGGCCGCCCTTTTTTTTTTTTTGATTTTTGCCGCAGGGGCTCCATCCGGACATGAGGACCGGACACCGGACACCGGACACCAAACACCGGACTGACTGGAACCCGGTCCAGACGTCCGGACGGTTACCATGGTTTAAACGGTTAGTTGTTCCATCTAGGGAAATTTTGCGTAGTTTATTCTTAGGTGAGTGCCACGACGCAACGAGACATTTTGGCTATTAGTAGACTAGTGCTAATTTAGTACAGCGATTCTGGTGGCCTAACATGCTGGACGATGCAAAAAAGTACGTACAAACCTGTCAGGTTTGTCAGTGGGGCAAGCCGCAAACTCAAGCTCCGCTTGGGTTACTCAAGCCTCTACCAATTCCTGCTGGCCCGGGGCAGAGTATCTCCATGGACTTCATGGATAATCTCGTGACCAGCAAGAATGGCAAGAGACACATCTTCATCATAGTTGATAGGCTCACTAAGTTTGCTAGACTAATTGCCATGCCGAAGACCACCAGGACTGAACACGTCATCAAGTTATTCATGGATAATTGGATGCATGACTTTGGGTTGCCAAAGACAATCGTTGGAAGAGGCCGCTGAACAGATGGGCAGCCAGCTCCAAATGACTTCTGGGAATCATCCCAAAGCCAATGGGCAGGCTGAACAAATGAACTGGGTGGTGCAGCATCTGCTGAGGCATTATATTAAGCCCAGCCAAGATGACTGGGATGAGAAGTTACCTCTCATCGCCAATCTGTACAATAACGTTGTACACAGCACCACCGGGGTCGGCCCGAAGCAGCTGCATCTGGGGTGGAAGCCTTGATCTGCAGTAGACTTCCTCCTTCCTGAAAACCGACCTGCTGCAACTCCTTGAACCATTGAATTTGATGTCCAGTACGAGAAGTTGCTGCAGCAAGCTGTCGAGAACGTCAAGAAGTCTTAGGAAGCAATGATTGCTTCTGAGAACAAGCATCGCCGACAGTCCACATTTCAGGTAGGGGAATGTGTCTGGGTTAAGGCTAGTGAACTGGGACAGGAGTTCGGCATCTCTAGGAAACTAATGCCTCAGTACTTCGGTCCCTGGGAAGTCCTGGATGTTGTGGGTAGTGAGATGGATGGTCCCTAGTATGTCATTCGAATCCCTGGTCACTTACGCACTTACCCTGTTTTCCATGCCTCAAAGCTCGCTCCTTTCGCTGAGACAGAACAGTTCCCATTACGGAGATCTATGCTGCCCCATACCATGGAATCATGGATGGCCACGTGGACGTCGACGATATCCTGGAGCACAGAGACATACCTGTTCCCAAGCCAGATGGCAGGGGTAGACCGCCTAAACCTGCAAGGGAGTACAGAGTACAGTTTAGGCATCATACGGATCCTAACGAAGGTTGATGGCTTACGAAGGAGGAACTAGTCAAGACAGCTCCTCAGATCGTGGCCGAATATGAGAAGAAACTGAAGGGGAAGGCACCAGCATGAAGCATCTCAGCGGACTTTCGAAGCTAAGGGGGATGGAATGCGAGGAACAAGCCCTCACGGGGCCCTATCAGACATCATATGTTCTGGGAAAAGGTCCCCAGCAAGCCGAGTGCCCGCCCTAAGTGAAGTCGGGCCTGAATATTCGTTAGAGGCCAACACTTCCATATGTGGGTATTCAGGCTCTTGCAGCACGCCAGTTGGTTGAGTGGACGCGTGAGCCTCACTAAGCTACGTTATACAGTTGGCCCAGGCCTTGACAGTTGCGCCTGGGCACATACACACAAAGCAGGGCCGATACATTGTGAAGCAGCCACCGGTCTATGCGAAAGCAGTACTGTCGACGCACCTACCCCGGGGCCCTGCACAAATGCATCACACGGCCCAAGTCCGGAGACTCAGGCCGTGCCCAGCTGTAAAGGGCCCAGGCCCTCAACTGTAGTCACGGGCCTGCGCGCAGGGTCTGAGGCCCAACCAGAAGCTACTGGAAGCTTCCGGCCAGGCCACACGCAGCATCCAGGAGGCTGCCACTTCCATATAGGAAGTGAAGCAGCCCAGGCCGGGCATTCTGGCCCGCGTAGGCAATGCGGACACGCTGCTGCGCTGCGGGTAAGGGCGCTGACGAGGCGCATTGCGGTGAAGTGGGGCGCTGCAGGGCAGCAGTGCGCTGGCAGCCATAGCCGGGCTGCTGGGCGCTAGGGGGTAAGAGAGGACGATCTGGTGGTCTTCAGGGAAGGAGGCCAGTGTGGGTTATCAAGGTCTGATGAGGGTGAAGAGATACGTACCTGGTGCATGAGGAGTGGCCGGCTATGGTGTTGACATCATGTACATTGATCTTCGAGAGTCGAAGTGAGCCTGTTGCGTGAACACAGCTGTAGGTAGGATAGTGGAGTAGAGTAGGCTGGGCGCTGGGCGCCAGACAGAGAGGAGCGACTTTGGATACTGTGTTGGTGTGGCCTGAGGGATTGAACATTGGCTCATTACTTCATTGTATTGCTGTATTTGGATGGATTCTCGGTGCAATCGTGCTTTCTGCTTGTTCACGACTACTTGGACATCTGTGTGATTTCACGACTTGGTTTTCTGTATATCGTTCACAGTGTCACACTCATATTCCATGCATTATTATTATTATTATTATTATTATTATTATTATTAGTATTAGTATTAGTATTCGTATTAGTATTAGTATTATATTTCGGAGAGAGAGAGAGAGAGAGAGAGAGAGAGAGAGAGAGAGAGAGAGAGAGAGAGAGAGAGAGAGAGAGAGAGAGTTCAGGCAGTTACTATTGCGGGCCTATGAGCGCCCAGGATCTGATTGGACGTTCTGCAAGGGACGAGTATTGGACATTTGACGGGGGAGACTATTTTCGGACTATCACGAGTTATTCTCTGGTCTTCCCCCCCTTTCTTGTTCCTTCGTCTCCTCTCCATCACCATCATCGTGGTCTTCTCCCCATGCGTGTGTGCAAGAAGGGAATTTTCTTCCGTGTATGTTTTGCTGATCCAACATGTCTGATGGTGTCTGTGTGAGTCGACTCTGAGTCTTCAGGTCATATCTTTGAGTCTTCCGCTGTGCTACATTGCATATTTGCTGATCGCTTTGTTTCTCCTGAGTCCTATTCATCACATTGGTGCTCCTTCAGACCTGTGCATCGCTCATGTTCAGATGAGCATGCATCATCTCCTCTCTCTTTCTCATGATGCTGTTGCCCGCGTATGAGCTGATGCAGGTCGCTGATGAAGGCCAGTCCCAGACCGGTGTCAAGTCTCAGTTATAGCGCCCAGGTAAGTCCCTCTCCACCTCGTGGCTATGGACACCTCCAGGCTCTATTCGGCGGCCTACTCTCCTACTCCTCTGCCGCCCAAATGGTGCTCCAGCACTCCGACCTCAAACTGGAGGACAGGCCCAGCTATATGCCACTGGGCCTGGCTGTGCTTCCTAGCAGGACTGTTCAATCTAAAACCCAAATGATGGTCCTGATCGCAGGCCTGAGTCCTGGTCCTGCACCCCTGGCCTAACTTGGCCTGCCTGAGTCCGTGCCGGACATCCAGGCGGCCATGCTAATGCAGGAGGGCTGGTCCAGAATGGACAAGGAATGAGCCAGGCACGACAGACAAGTGCCTGGTCCAGTCCAGATGCGGACAGAAATTTACTTGGCCTACAATGGCCAAAAATATAATGCACTGGTCCGAACAGGCATCAATGCCTGTTCGGACAAAAGGAAAGTCCGAACTGTCACTACCTTGAGCAGACGAAAATCTGACCAAACAAAGAATCAGTCCCAAACAAGAATCGATACCAGAAAAATGATTAAATACTTAAAAGAAAATAACAAACAAATGGGACAAAGTAGACACAAAATAGACCAAGTCCTAGAAGGATGGCCGTGGCCTTCCAAGCTGTCCAAAATAAAGGGTAGCGTGGCCTGGGGGCCAAAGTGCAAAAGTTGGGCCTCTCGGGTCCATGTAGCAGGCCCCAGTGTGCTATAACATGAGAATGGGACCATTGGGACTTCGGGACTGGTACATGGGACCTGAAATCCTTTCAGTGAAGTGTCAAACGGGAAAAGAAAAAGGTTTTCAACTTTCAAGCTCGAAAAAGGGTTTCAGAGTTTGTTTTAGTCCTTCACTTGACTCAGTTAACTGTGAATTTCCCAGCAGCAGGAACTTTGGAGGCCAGAGCTGCATTGTTGTACATGCCGACTTCACCACCTAAATGTTAAGGAGGACATTTGGTAGGGTAGTTTTAACTTAACATTGGAGTTATCAATGCTGCCAATCAGGGATCTTTTGGCCACAGTGGAGGGACTGTGTGGATAATGAGTGGAGTCCATGCAATTGCCTGAACTCTGCAGGGACGGTGGACCCAGTTTCCAGCAGTTGAGAAGGCTGTTTTTTTCTGAATTTGGGATGTTTGGCCTGATTTCCAGCAGATGCTGCTCCTCACCAATAGACTGCAGAAGCTGTTACGTTGAAAAAGAAAAAAACAGTTGCTATTAACTTTTGCTTTTCCCTGTGTTCCTCATTCTGGTTCATATCTCACTTTTCAATTGCAGGTCTCTGATTTGTTGGAAGTAGAAGCAGAGGCCATACTCATTAGTGGTGTTGAGCTTGTTCAAAATAGGAGTGGACCTGTTGGTCAGTCACTTTACAACACACATAAATGGAGTGGCCTGGTTGTGGAGTTTAAAGTGTCTTCCTCTGGTGAGGAGCGAAATCCTTTCGTTGTCCATCGACGCTCCGCCTTGCAAGTGCTGAATGCAGCTGTGGCGGAACATCCTCCTCATGCTTTGCCTGGGGAACATGGTCATAGTTCCTCCTTGATGGTAAAGAACAATTCCCACGTCGATGAGTTTATCCCCGGAATGGTCTTGACTGCAGTCAGGGGGATAAAAAGGCAGGGTGAGTGCGGCAACAATATCTGTGAAATTGGGGAGCGATGCACGCCAGAGGGAACAAGCGTGAGTGCTACTGAAGATACCGAAATTGGATTCCTCACACAGACATCTGGCAGGCAAGATTTCAAACTCGCCCTACCACTGCATACAAATCAGACCCAATCACTCATCCACTCCCACTCATGCTACCCACTCCCTTCTGGGTAGCGATGGACCCATGATGGTGTATGCCCACGGCAACTGCCATCTTAACCTTCTTTTTTGGATTGTGTGTGCCTACTACCTTCTTCCCCCGAATACAACGTACGGTCATTATAGCTGTATTTGACGCGTCTTTCAGTCTAGATACAGCTATAATGACCGTACGTTGTATTCGGGGGAAGAAGGTCGACCTGCAAACCTAACTTCTTATGGGAAAAGAGAGGCACTACACCTGCAAACTTAATATTTTGAACTTGTAAAAAAGGCAGAGTTAATTGTTTTCGAAGGGGGGAAAGAGAGGCAAAACAGTCGTAATTGCATATGCCTACTGCACCTGCCATCGTAACCTTGCTTCCAGATTTGTGAACCATATTATAAGGGAATGGGATGACCATCATGACCCCCAACATCATGGAATTCGACAAGGCTTGAATGGTCAACATGCATGTCCTATTTAGCCACCCTGTCCCCAAACAAACTATGAACTTGAGATTTTCTGAGCAGTAATGATTGTGGTTGAGAAAAAATTGATGTCTTTTATAAGTTTTATTTCATTATTCCAGTTACGGACTTGAGCTGGCTACAGATTATACCAAGTTGCCCAGAGTTTAGGATTCAGAACATGGTTACGTTCCGGACGTCCGGACCGAGTTCCAGACAGTCCGGAGTACCATGTCCGCGCGGACGTACGGTCCGGAGGTCCGGAAGCTGCCAAATCCAGAGGATTTTTTTCTTAAAAACGGGTCGGCCTGGACCCTTCGTTGGGTCAAGGCTGACGCCAGAAAATTGTCTCCGGTAATTTTCTGACCCATTGGGCCTCTACAGAAATGGTTGGACGTGCACTTCTTAGGTTTTAGATTTTTTTTTTTTCTTTCTTTCACTCTAGACTCTGCAGTCTTGGTGTGGCCTTGTTTTTGGGGGGAAGAGGTCTGTTTGAATCGAAACTCCCCCGCCCGCAATTCAGCCCGCTGGTATGCTATCGAAACTCCCCCTGCCCTCCATTCACCCCGCTGGAACGTGACGAGCTGTTGACGTCGTCGTTGCAGCGCTTCCCCCATCGTCGTCGTCGTGGCTGCTCCCCACCCGAAGTGGCCGAAATATCTGAAAGCGGTTTTAGATGCCCTCATCCAACCGTTTGGATTGGAGACCTGAAACCGCTCAAGAAGCTTCAGCCACTTCAGTTCATTTCAGAGGTTTCAGGTCTCCTCGCCTGAAACTCATAAAACCTATGAAATGACATGAAGTGGCACACAGCAACGTTGAACCAAGAGAAAAACAGGCAAGAAAAAATAAAAAACCCATAAAATCTGACCCCTAAGCCACCTGAAACTCTTGAAATGACATGAAGTGTCTTCAGACCATTTCAGCGATTTCAGACCTCGGCTAACAAACTTCAGAATCTTTCATTATGAAATTTCAGGAGGTCGTTAACCACTTGTGTTTTATGTCGAAGATCATTCCTCTGGCCCCGTGCTGCAGCACGACAATGTACCAACACTTTGTGACCTTCTCCTTTGCACTGCAACAGACACTGTTACACTCGGTTGTAGTCGCCATAAACTGTGTCACAATCACTTCCATGACATGGTTTCTGCATCTACGTGTGTAGAGGACTGCCCCTCCGTTCCTGGCTGCAGCCACCCTCTACATCCAAACACTATATGTCCATTTTGTGGCCATGGGCACTATACTGAATGCATGGTCTTTTATGGTGAGCGTTCTTCTTCATTTCGGCCTGCAATCGACATGCCATTTGTCGGAAGTGTATGTTGGGCATGCTCAATGTCAGCCGTTGTTTTTATGGATTGTATATTTGTGCAGGTGTGCCGCTTCGGCTGCAGACGGGTGTGTGGGCACTTCCCGCTCAACCACAAAAACATGGGGAACTTTGCACCTTCAATTATACTGCTTATCTAATATCTATACTTTTTTTGTTTATGGATGATTTGTGATGGTATGAGGATGGATTGAGAGAGAGAGTTTGGGGATCTTGACTAACACACACATACTTAGAAAACTCAACACAACGCGGGAATCTCATCAGGCATACATTCCAGCGGCAAAACCCAGAGATCAGCAGTGTACTCAGTTTATGTTTTGCGGGTCATTATACCATGCTCGACCATCTACTCTTTCACTTCTCTATTCCCATTATCCCATCAAAGGGCCGACCACCAATTGTGGTGTTCTGTATCCATCCAGTTGCTATTTCGAATTCAAATTTCCTGACTGCTTGTATTCCAGTCCATCTGATCATCCCGTACCCTTCTCTCCTGTGGAGTGATCTGGTCAATTTTTTTTTCCAACTCCAGCCGATATTTCTTCCCTCTCAGTGATATAATACCCATGGTTACTTCCCTGTGAACTTACATCAATCCATATTCCCATCAATGTGTATGCTCATGTCACATCCGCAAGTTGAGTCCGCAAGTTGAGTACATAAATGCCAAACAACGATTTTCATGTTGTTTTTCCCTTTTCTGCATATTCTACAGTTCTAGTCGTACGTTATTGTCTCTCCGTCAATGAGCCGTCTGTCCGCCAGTATATCTTTTTCCCAAAAGCTGCCTGTGTTGCTGTCACGTGATTAGACTCACATGCATACCTCTTTTCAATTTTGTTTTTCCTGTAATTTTGCCCCGTTATCTCCCGATAATTACCCTACAAACATTGCCTTACTGCATTGTCCTAAGAATTTTCAAAAATTTCCTTGTCCTTTGCTTCTCCATTCTTAAACCACCAGTACCTCGCCCAGCTACGCAGTACGACCCTCCAGCGACCTGTATGCCGAGCCTGCCGACCCTGGCAGTACCGGTAGCAGGAGGGGCCGAAACTGGGGGAACGAGTAGCAGAAAAAAAGAAAGAAAAAGAAAAGATATGCTACATCGTTGGGGACGTGAAGGCAGTCGGGTACAATCTCCCAAGTGCTTGTATGAGCAAGCCCTCTGTGAGAGCGTCTAAGCCCCACTATGTTGTTGTCAGATCTCTAAGCCGAAGAAGACAAAAAAGAGAAACGTCGCCTTGTCATCTGAATCTAGAAGAACAAAAATGGAAAAAAAAAAAAAAAGCACCATTTTCGCCTTGATATCAGTCTAAGCCGAAGAAGACAAAAAAGAGAAACGTCGCCTTGTCATCTGAATCTAGAAGAACAAAAATGGAAAGAAAAAAAAAAAAGACCATTTTCGCCCTTGATATCAGTCTGATACATTCTTCCAAGTGGCTGTGTAGTTATGCCCTGGATGATGCTATGATTCTGGTTGTTTGTTGCCTGAAGGCCCACACTCACTCACAAAGACTTTCAGGTATGCCCATACATACATAGAAGGAAGGGGAGAGGATAGGAGTATCACACCGCACAGGAAGAGATAACACAGCGGAAGACTTGACCATGCCATATGACAGGGTACACTGAAAGTGCAATTCACTCCACTCAATCCTCACAACCAGTCATAGAGAAAAGCCGAGCAGATCACATCCAGGAAACAATGAAACGAAGATAGTCCAAACCCAATTATACACTGTTTATTAAACTCAAAGTCTCGAATTGTGAGCAGCGCTTCACTCCCCAACCTTGATTAACACCCGTAACACCCCTGAGCCTCTGAAACATCAAGCGCCACCCAAATACAACCTCCTGAGGGAACCGCCACCATGAAACAGGCCTCTGAGGCCAAGCGCCACTCAGAGGATGAAGAAGAAGACCAGCGCCACAGTATCTGATGATGACGAAGTGTCGGAAGACTTCCCGGGTGGAAGTCTGCAGCAGTGCCACCAAACCCTGACAAGATGACCTCTGAAGAAGAAGTTGCAGCTATGGCTGCAGCTATGGCTGCAGCACCGCAACCCTGGAACCCCACTCCGGAGGAGGGTCCAGCAGGGCACCAATCTCTCTCGCCTCCAGCAGACCTCTATAACCCAGACCTTTGTCAGCCCCTGCGTGCTGGCAGAGTGCAGCGCAGGTCCCAGCTATGACCGGCGCTACGAAGGTCTGGCTATGCTTGTCTCCTTCAACGCTGAGCCGTCACCACTTCCGGTTCACGCGTAGTGCAGCAGCGATGTACTCGGTATCGACTGCCAAAAGCCCTGAACCGAAGTGCCCATCCTATCTATACTACACTAGCCTAGACTCGACCTAGACCAGACTGACTGACCGACCGGTACCGTTTCTGTTTCGGCCTCTCGGCCTCTACCGGACCCAGCTATAGGCTATAGGACCGTCTATCAGAATAGGCCCTCAGGGCCTGTCTGTCCTAGGGGTAGCCCGGGCCTGCTGTTCGCAGTTAGGGTAGCTGTAGGGAATTCTGTTAGTACCAGGACTGCATATTTCCCGAATTTGCAGATATGCCCCTCACGAATTTCCCTCACAGGTAGGTCTCTCGGTTAGCCCTCAGCCAAACAAAATTGCAAATCTGTCCTACCTATAGTACAGCCTCGACAGAGAGAGGCTACAGGCGACCAGAAAACAGCAAGTCATTGCAATGAGGTCGTTTGAGGGAATCACGGAAAAGGACCTGCCAGACTGGCATTGGAATCTACTAAAAAGGAACACACAAAGGAAAAGAAAAAAAGGAACAAAGTGAATCTATACTAGATTATGGACATGTCCGTTAGAGAACTGTGTAGGCAGAAAAGTGCTGTCGGACTGCCTTTCCCCGACAGCCGTTCATACAGCAAACTTTCTTTTTCTTTTTTTCCTTTTGTGCACTGTAGCTAGGAAAGTTGTACGACCGGTGGGCTGCTGGACGACTCCCGTCTGACGCGGCGTGTTAACGGCTGCGTCGGAAATTTTTAGCTGGGCGAGGTACGGGTGGTTTAAGTTTACAAATGACTGTACACTGCATACAGCACATTTCCGTGTGCTTTCGGGTATCCCAGCAGACAAGCTTCTGTGAATAACACTCTTACTACATCAATCATATCCTTCTTTATCTGCTTTGCTGGTCCATATCCAATGTAGATTTCCCGGAAGAGTGAGAACTTTTATCTTTTCCGGGCCATCACTGCTCAGCTTTCAAATGTTTAAACTTTTGTGCCTGTGCTTCAGAAGATCCCCATGGTTTACTGGTGGGGCTAACTCAGTTGGTACCACCACGAACTGTTGAAATACAGACCGGAGTTCGAATCCAGATGCCACCAGATTACCAGGCTCCATATCCATTCTGGGGAACATCAGTCCGGTTCCTTTTCCACCGACAAGTCAAGCGACACACACACACTTCCTTCCGTCTGGCCGAATGACCCCTGATCAGCATTGATTAATCCATGTACATGGAGGATTGACTGTCAGTCTGCCTTGCATCCCCCTTTCCTCTCAGGTTCACCTTCTGAACCTGTCAACTTTGCCTGAAGAACAAGAACGTGTCGATCCTCTCCTTCCCGCTTCCGATTTGTGTCAATCCTTAAGTTGGAGTCCTTTATCTCTGCTACTTTGCCCCCCACCAGGCAGACCTTGGCAGATTTGGCGAGAACTATGTGCTGCCGGTCCTCATCATCAGGTAAAGAATATCTCATTTTATGCCATTTTCATAAAATCTCCACCTGGATCAAAGTTATTGTCTCCGCCCACACCTTTTCCCTTGGAGTTGATAGACCCTCGCCCGTCCTGCTGCATCTCTCTTTCCGGATAGACCATCTTGTTGCTTTCCTGATCGTACCAAACCGTGTCCTCTCTGTGTTACTGAATTGAGAGGGGATGTTAGTCCACAATAGAAGTTGGATAGAGCGTCCCATAGGTCCGATGCCCTGGCCCAGTATTCTGTTGCTTCTCTACAGCGTATTAGACAGTGAAGCATGTCTTCTGGCTCGTTATCTGGGCACATTGTGTAAAGGTCAGAACCAGACTAAACTCATTCTGAATTACCACAATAAAATCATTCTGAATTACCAGAATAAAATCGTTCTGAATTACCTTGGGTCGGTCAGTTCAACGATGATATCTCAAGGCCGTCGCCCTTTTCGGGAAAAAAAAAACATCACCATGGTTCCATGAACTTCCGTCTGTGCTTCGAATTTCCATCGTTCCACTTGGTTCAAAAGCGCTACCCAGTGACTATCACTCTTCAATCCAGGAATTCAACTCCTGCCATGAAAGTGAATAATGCTGCTCAGAGTTAGTGGCCTGCACGGTTGCTGGTGTTGCCATTATGTGACGTTGGCCCTGCTATTGTGGACAGTTTCCTTTCAGCAGCTCCTACCAACACTGCCATGTATGCCGCCCCTTTTGGTTTCGGGGCTCCCCAGCGGCTGTCTTTCTCAAACCTGAGAGTTTGAGTCCTTACATTACAGCCAGTAGGCCCAGTACTACTTTTGAGAGTTTTATATCAGCAGGACTAATGTTGACCTTGCCATCTATGTCCAAGTTGGTCACTACTCCTGTAGCCGGTTTCCTCCCTGCAGCTTCCCTCAACAATAATGTTGGTTTTGGGCCCTAGTTTTTTCCTCTAGTTCACATCCAAAGCCAGATCAACCTGGTTGGGATATAGGGCAGAAATTTGAATGGAACGTCGCCGGCTCAAAGGCCATGTGCAAAATGGCAAGTGTCTTTTCAGCTAGAAGGTGGAGAGTTGCACTCGCGACTTTTTTGCTATCTTTTACATTTGCCAAGTAAGTGGAGGCCGAAAGCCTGTGTTTACTTCTCAGAGCATCTTAGAACCACTGACCATGATCCCATAATCCAATCTCCCCTCCATTGCAGGTGTTGCTTCGAGGACTGTCAGTTTGTGCTTCAGCAATGCCCAGTGCCAATCAATGGCCCACGGGCCGGTGTAGCATGTGCCACGAATGGGCGATGTTTGGACACCACGGGTACTTGTGATTGCTTTGTTGGGCATACAGGCGAGGATTGCAGCAAGTGCAGTCCGGGCTGGGCCGCGACAATAGATGGCAACTGTGTGCGACAGGTTGACGGCCCCAGGCACAGGCTTCTGAGGACAGTTGCATCAGAATCCTCCGTTTCAAGTTCATCAAATGAGCAAGGTACGATTGCTATGACTGGGAACATTACCCTGCGGAAAGCCACACATGAAATCAGCCAATCCATGAACTTGGTTCCTCTGCCCCCAGGGACCTTAGGACGGGATGTTTGGATGCCTTCTTCATTGGGTAACGAGTCCACGCCTGCGCAGACTGAGGCTGAGAGCAAGCAGATCCATAATGTCATGGAGCAGACAGGTCAGTCATGGTTGCAGGCAGTCCCAGGACCAGAGGACCAACCGTTGAGCTGGCTACGACCACAACCTGGCAACGTTGTCATTCAGGAATCATTCGACAGGTTCCGAAGAGGGCCTGAGAAGCAAGGTGAGGGCATCATGATGGCTGTCCCGAGGGACACAACTGGGGTCATGAAGAATCAGCCACCATTGCGGCAGGATCTGCCCGCATTGTCAGCTTCGTTGACAGCCGAGGATGCCGTGGCAGCAGATCGAGAGAGTACAAGTGAGGGGCAGGAGCCTGGCAGCATAACTGCTGCCTTGGGGAAGGAAACGCAGATGGTGACTGGACAAGATCAGCCAATGGAGAAGGCATTTCATGTTGGCTCGATGAATGATCCAGAAGCAGGTTTGGGGGAGGCAACGGAGTTCAAAGAACATGAGAGGAAGCCATCTCATCCCAGGGAGAAGCTTCATGGGTTTTCAGTGGGGTTGTCTGTTGCAGCTGCATGCATTGTGCTTGTGATAGCTTTGCTTAACCTTGCTAGAAAGACTTTCCATGGGCGACGTGGAATGCAGCCCCTCTCAATGGAGGGTGAGGCTGTGGAGTCTGTTGCAAATGCAGAAGGAAGGCAATCCTCGGTCAACCAAGACCTTCAGGGGTCCAGCCTTAAAGGCATTGTGCTTGAAGGCCAGCATGATCCACGGTCACCACCACCGGTTCAAGTTCCAAGCTGGAAGAATGGTAAAAAGCTAGTTTCACTCGAGATCCATGCACCTGACTCCGGGCAGGATGAAAATTCCCTGCAAGTTCGTTCAAATGATGTAAATGATCAGACCCCACTAGCCGTCAGGATGAAGGACTTCCATTCTGAGTCCTTCCCAGTTGCGGGGCCTACCTTCCCTGATGAAACAGACATCGAAGAACGGCCTCTGGTTCAAGACTATGGAGCAGCGTTTATGCCGAGCGTTAGTTCAGGTCGCCAGCCATTGCGACCATCTTTCAGGAGTTTGATTTAGGAAACCCCAAGAGAAGGATAGCATAGATAAAAATGTAATTCTTTCTTTTTCTACGGTGGTTGGAGCAATCAAATTCCATGTTATATGAACAAATGCGAGTTCTCCTATGATGGAATCGGTGTCTGGGACAGTCTGGCTAGTGTGTGGAAAAAACACTGAAGGAATCGCTTAACATACCAGTCAGTGTCGCTGTTTCACCAATATTTGTTCTTTGTACCTTCGTTTTGATACTTTTCTTATCCTTTCACCGTTTTCCACTTCATGGCAAAAGATGGTAATCCAGGCTCATAATCCTGTTGTTGCAGTAAAAATAATTTCATCTAAAAAAAAAATTAAACTGTGGGAGCTTGCAGCTGATGAGTGCAGGGGGTGTGCAGTTTCCAAATCTTGTCAGTGAGATCAGGGTACCCAGTTTTACAACATTGGTGAGATTGTGAAGCTGAGATTTTCGTGTGTTTGTATTGTGGCGACGGTCACCCTTGGAAAGCCATTCCCATCCATCCATACCATGCATGCCTTGTATCGATTTAGAAAAACAAACCCCACTGCATCTCTCATATATAAGTTCGTCTGCCGAGAAACAAGAGTGTGATTGTTAAGTCTAAAACAAGGACCAGTGCAGCTTCGCTTGTATCAGAAAAAATGTTGACGGGGATAGAGGGTCTTGCAAAGATTGCAGGTATTGAATTTGAAGCATAAAACATAGAAAGAGCAATTTTGTTGTTGCTTCCATCATGCCTGGTTGCATATTGGATTGCCTTGCATGATACATTGCCTCACTCTGTGTGTAAAGCACGGTGCATATTGGATTGCCTTGCATGATACATTGCCTCACTCTGTGTGTAAAGCACGGTGCAGACGGCCCTGAATGGGCTGAAGAGGCTGACTCCTATCGTGGAAATTGTTTCTTAGCCGAAGCCAGGTAACGGCCCGGGGAGTTCAATTGTTCTGTATATGTTCTGTATATTTTCATATGGGACGCTGGGCACGGTTTCCAGCACATGCTGCTCTCCACGAATAGATTGGAGCATTGTGCAAGGAAAATGAGAGACAGCGAAATGACAGAAATCCAGAATGCCAAATCACATTGAGAGCCAGCAACTCCAACTCTGTCCAGAAAGCAGAAATGCACTGATATTCCACCAACGGAGAACCAAAACACTGAGCCTGAATGTCAATGAGAGCATACTCTCGCCACTCACCTCTACCTGGGCAAATTAAAAAGTATTGTAAGCAGGGCAAATGTAAAGTGTAGTGGACCAAAAAACCTCAATGTCGTAGCCCGCACCTACGACATAAGGAAATGTTTACCCAGCTGCAGCATGAGGAAACACGTAATGCCGTTTCTTGGATTTTGGGTGTTTTTGAAGATAAAGAGAGCAGATGGATCAGATTTATTTGTCAAAAAAAACTTGTCACATTTAGTAAATCCCGTGGGGAAGCGGGCTGGAAATCAATACGGCTAAAAATGGTGATCCAATTAATCAATTTTCAACTAAAGAACACCTTCTTCCTGGTTAGAGCTGCCGTGCTACATCAAAAGAGAGGTATCCCCATGGGTGGCAGAGCGAGTCTGTCACTCGCATGTGCCATGTACATGTTCTCTGAATACAAGTTCGAAGTGGCCCTGGGTGCTGATGGTCGGTTCATAACCGGAAAGCGGTACATTGGTGACAATTTTTGTTTTTTAAGAAAGGCGACCCAGAATGTCGACAGAGGGCCGAAAAACTTTTGGACTCGGTACTGGGCTTTTGTTACATACTCCAATGAGTATGGGCAGAACCAAGAATCAACCAATATAGGATGAGTTTTTATGCAGTGGAAGGCTTATAACGAACTGACTCACATAGACTGACTCACATAGACTGACCTACATGGCATCACTCCACACACATACAATCATGAGATGGTGGGGTCTGGGTCATGCATAGAAGATACCCAGATCCCGTACACAC